AATTTACAGTGGGCACATAATAATGACTAGCCAGAAAGCTAAAAATGGTTATGAGTGCTGCAAGACTGGGGTTCCTTGCAATAACAGAGAAATAGCTATGTTGTGAATGAGTCTGTAGTGGATTGGAGCAGGAAGGCATGCATTGAGGAAGGTGTAATGCAAGAGAAAAAATTGTAACATTTCAAAAGTATGCGATGATGTGCTCCAAGATACGGCCATACGGCCATCCTATTTTATGAATCTTACAAAGAAGTAACAGTAATATTGTAAGGGCATAATAAATATTTGCAAGCTTTAATTTAATTAAGGTCTCTGAGACATGATAATTTTATGATTTAAACCAAACGGGTTTAAAATTTACATAACATGGGTCATTTTAAAGATCACTTCATACCTGAGTTTATATGATCCAATAAATTAAACCAGAGATCACTGACGAGAGTGTTCCCAGAACTTCCCTGGGGCACTTCTACTTAGTTCTTGGAAGGGAAAACAATTCCTAAAAGGAAATGTGGATTAATCCAAGAATAGTATCACAGTTAAGAGCACATGTGTTGAATTCTATAAAATGGGGATTATAATAGCTACCTCACAGGTTTGTTATGTAGATAAAATAAGGTTACATATTTTAAAATGGCTCAGCAAACTATCAAGCCACAAAATGACATGGCGGAAACTTAAATGCATATTGCTAAGTGAAAGAAACCAGTCTGAAAAAGCTACATGCTCTATGATTGCACCTATATGACATTTGGGAAATGGCAAAGCTACAGAAACAGTGACAAGATCAAGGGTTGCCAAGGGTTGCAGTGGGGGAGGTTGGGAAGGAGAGGGGCTGTTTAGGGCAGTGACACTATTCTGATACCGTAATGGTGAGCACATGATATTATGCGTTTGGCAAAACCTATAGAACTGTGTAATACAAAGTGTGAAACTTAATGTTACCTATGGGCTTTAGTTAATAATAACGCCAATACTGGCTCATCAATAGTAACATATGTACCATGTTACTGCAAGATAAGCTGTGTGTGTACCACGTTAGTAGGCTGTAGTAGATTGCTAGAGCTGCCATGGCTTAAAATAAGAGCAACTCATTGTCCCGCAGTTCTGGAAGCGAGCAGCCCGAAGTCAATGTGTTAGCAGAGATATGCTCCCTCCGCAGACTCTAGGGAGGAATTTACTCTATGCCTCTCCCACCTTCTTTCTGGTAACTCATGAATTCCTTCTGCTCCATCTTCTCGTGGCATCGTTCCTGTGTCTTCACATCATCATCCCTCTGTGTGTCTTTCTTTATATCCAAATTGTCCCTTTCTATAAAGACATCAGTCATATGGGATTAGAGCCCTTCCAATTACCTAACCTTAATTTGCCTACCTGTGCAAAGACCCTATTTCCAAATAAGGTCACATTTGGAAGTACTGGGAGTGGGACTTCATCATACCTGAGAATACACAGTTCAGTGAAATATAAAAGAAACTGTAGGCAGAGGTGAAGGGAAGGGAATAGATGAGAACTCTGTACTTTTGGGGGTTTTTTAATCTAAAACTACTCTAAGAAATAAACTTCATTAATTTAAAAAAGTTTTTTGAAAGGCCCAGCAAATACTACATGTTCAGTAAATGTTAGTTATGTTGGAAGCTGAATTAACTTATTCAAAGTCTCCCGCACAACGGGTTTTGTTCTTGATGTGTTTCAAGACCAATATTGGTATTGCCCCCAAATCCCAAAAACTTACCCCACCCATTTGCTATTAAGTTTATGATCATTTGAGAGTAGGTAGGACTTAGCTTTCACCACTTGGCTTCCCCCCTAATAACTGAGTACTTACAGTTCATTGCCAAAAGGAAAGGCAGCATGGTTTGAAATCTGTAACACTGACTTATTACTTCCTTATGATAGCGTAGGTGTGCCCTGTTCTGAGAAAATCCGGTATTTGAGAACCCATATTGAAAAGACAGATATATCATTAGGTAATGCGTCATTTGCCTTTGTAAAGTGCTTCTTTCCCTTTACAAAAGGAATCACACCAGAGTTCTTTCTATAACATGACTACAATCCCCCCCAGCACAAAAATTTAGTTTTCATAAAACTTTTCAAGAACCCATCTGTCACATTCATTGATAGACACCTCCTTTAGCCAGCATTTCTCTTTCAGGACCCTCTGTCTATTCTTGACACTCAAGAGCTCCACAGTTTACAGAATCTCTCTGCATTGACATTTCATCACTTCATTGGTTGAGAGTTTGTTTCCTAACCAATGCTGCTGGAAGGAATTCAGCATCAGCTGGAGGGGAGGGGAGGAAATGAGAGATTACTAGCTGGGGACATGGAAGCTACTGCTCTCAAAAGAGGAAGGGGGTGGGGAATCACAATTCTATCCAGACATGGCTCCCCTCACAGAAGAACAGTGCCAGGGAAGTTCAGAGAAGCTCTGTGATATAAAGGTGTGAGGATTAAGAAAGATCTTCAGCTTGGTGTTGGCATGAGACCATCCAGGAGCCTCTCTCTCTCTCTCTCTCTCTCTCTCTCTCTCTCTCTCTCTCTCTCTCGTGCGCGCGCGCGCGCGCGCGCGCACACACACACACAGTACACAGTACACAGAAGTGCTTTCTCTTCTCTTTCAGATATGCCCACCACATGTCCACAAAACATAATACAGAAAGGCACTTGTCTATGTAGGTGCGTTATCTATTTAGCCATCATCTATCTACCTATCTACCTACCTACCTATCTCTTTTCTCTCTCTCCCTCTCTCCTCTCCCTACCCCCACCCCAAAGTGTCCCCACACATAATCAGCAGCATTCAAGTAAGTAATTAACCAGACAGGTATACAGTTTTTCTATGGTTGGAAAAGAAAAAAAATGCTGAAGTAATAAAGCGTGAGGCATAGGAGGAGTGGTGGGTAGGAGAAAAGCTGAGTTTGTAGAAAGCCAGGGAGGCTGGCCCGCCAAAGTGACCGCCCGAGGTTAGTCAGTTTCCCCTCGCGTGGTGTACCCCAAGACACCGCCAGCCGTGGGCATCCTCCGCCTGCTTGGGGGGCCCTTCTTTCCCTGCTCATCAGCACGTCCACAGGGGTAGAGGCTGAGAAACTGGGGCCCCGGTGGCCACCAGGGAGCCAGCCTGACTGCTTAGCTTAGGTGAGGGAGAAGCAGAGGCCCAGAGGGTGCTTTTCAAGCTACTCAGATAAATGAGGAAAAGTGAAATCTCTTGCCTACAGACAGACCTCTTTCTGCCATTTCTGTTTGCTGTTGCTATAGTTATTTGAGAAGCGGCTTAGAGACAACAGAAGACTTTCTTGAAGAAGGAAAAGAGCGGAGTTTACTCTCTCCCTGCGCTGAGGAGCCCAGGTTCGGTCCCACTGCCCATGGGGCTGTCCCCACACGCCCTGCACGGTGCTCGGAACAGGAGCCCATCCCAGAGGGGCCCTCGGCTCCCCCTTTTTTTTCATTCTGATGACTATGATGAGATCTGACTGGAAAATGTAGGGAAATTTCTTCATGGTTGATGAAAAAAATTTTTTAGAGAAAAACTGATTCTCTCCTTCTTAACTAGCAATGTCTTAGAAAGTACTCTTGATAGGGATAAAATAGAAAAACACCTTAACATTTAAAAACCCCAAATAAACACCAGAATTTGAATTTCTAAAAGATTTATAAGCAGTATAAATAATACCCTGAGGGAGAAGAAAGGGGGAAAATGCAAACATTGGATAGTTTTGTTTTTGTTGGCTGAGGTTTTGTTTTTGTTTGTGTGGGTTTTCTAGTGGGGGGGGGAGGGCAGGGCAGGGCGGGGAATGCTTGAAAATTAAAAAAAAAAAAATCTGACAATTTATTTAAGAAGGGCTCCGGACTTGGCTTCAAAAACTAAGTTTTGCTTTTTACTCCCTCAAACAAAGATGCATTAGGGGATGCCTTTAGGTTTTGCACGGCTCCTTATTTTCTTACGCAGAGCAAATGGCTCGTCTCATGTGCACAGAAAGGGCTGGAAAATATTTTTTGTGATCTGAGTGCAGCCGAGAGTCTAAGATTCCAGAGGAAGTGGCGGCCTCCCGCTCCACACAGGAAACAATCTTCAAGCAGGCCTTAAATGCCAGACTCCAGGCCGAGTTTAACTAACCACTGACAGCTCTGTAAACAAAGCAAGGACAAAAAGAGCCCGCTTCCCCTTTTCTGGTAGTCATTTTGGGTTTGGGGGCTGCAGGGGAATTCTGGAATTCTTGACTCCATGGCACAGACACGCAGGGGAAGCGGGCTCCTCAGCTGAAGAGCTGGAAAGGGAGGATCTGTCTGGGATTAAAACCATCACCGAGGAGGTAGGAAAGGACAAAACCGCTGGGTTACAATGAGCCGGGACTTTTAAGCTCTGGAAACAGCTTGATCACAACGTAATCGTTGCCTTTTAAAATGCTGCTATGTTATGTTTATTCATGGTAGGATTGCTGCGGTCTTTATTATCATTCTGCTGCTAATATTCTTTTAGAATATGCAAATTATGCCTGGATACCTGTATTATTTTATTTCTCTTTTCTCTTACTTCCTACGTATTCCTTTTCTTACCAGCTTTCTTTTTTCACTCTTGTTTTCTTTTCCCCTTTCTTTGTTCACTTTTTCCTAACTTCTGTCTGTGTAGCTTCAGCAAGCTACACAGAGCAAAACCTTTCAGTAGCTCTTCAGTGATCCCATCAATATTTCAAGTTTTCAAAACCTCTGTGTCTCCCGGGGTCTTTGTTTTTTAAACTGTAGTCCCAGAATCTTACTTATTTGTCTCTAAATAGTTTCATGAATGAGACTGAATTCAGCACAGGAAGGACTGGGCTCGGGAGTCAGAAACTGATAACTGGCTACCTCACCCGTCTTCTAAGGTGTTTTTCTTAAGACTAAAGAAAAAGTGAGCAAATGAAAAAATAGTGTGGGTTGGGGTGGGGGAAGGGCTAAAGCGATCCATGGGAAATAATAACTTTGCCTCATTGATGATATTCATTCCCCTCCCTCCCCTCTAGATCCAGACATCATCTGGTCTCCCTGAACCTGAAAGCGCACCATGGATGATTTTGAACGTCGCAGAGAACTTAGGAGGCAAAAGCGGGAAGAGATGCGCCTAGAAGCAGAAAGGTAAGGATCGACGTTGGAAGAGATTTTTGTATTGTGTTATTCACAGTGTTGGTTTCAGGCCTCAGAGATCATCACTCGGAAGAGCCAAACAGATTGCACACTGAGCTGTTTGCAACAGTAGTTATGAAAACTTTTCCTGTTAGCACTCCAAATTCTGCCTAAAAAACAAACAAGCACCAAGAAAAGGGGAGAGTCTCGAAGAATGAAATCATTGCATTTATCCAGGGCCCCCCCATGGGAATTTTTAAATCACAAAGGCAACGTGTAGAGGAAAGTTTCAGAATCAGTTATAATATTAAAATGACATAAAAATGACAAAGAATGAATATTGAAGCCACTTAGGAAATGGGAGGCTTTAGTCTAAGAGAGTAAAGCAGGAAGCCCCAGATGGATCCTGTGTCGCATTTTTATTCTTATTAGAAGAGCACATGCAAATGCAGCAATCCACGTCTCAGGGGTTAATGGCTGGTGGGTGTGCTCCGGAGGATTCCGAGTCTAGTGGGAAGCTGTAGTGTTGTGTGTGTGAGGCCTGTCCTGTCGCGGTGACTCCAAAAGCAGGTTGGGGAATGGAAACAAGGACATGTGAAGCACGGGACACAATGCCTATTTTTAATTTTTCAGCTTCAGAGCAAAGGACAGTGGCATTTAAAGTGATTTCAATCAGATGATCTTTTGAGGAAGCAGAGTGGGCATTCACAGGAAGAAAACTGCTGCCCAGAAATCTTAAAATCAAACCAGCGTTGCCTCGCAGTGATTCCAGGGCACATATGAAAAGGTGTTAGTGAGGTGATCCCTTAGCGATTCTGCAGTAGAAAACTAGGACTTGCATCTATAACAAAAAGTATTTGGGGCCATAGTCTCTGCTTATTCATATGGAGAAGGCAAAAGAAGGAGGCCTTTGATTAACTTGGTCAGAAGAGGCTGCCATTCCTGAAATGTTTATGCCCATACATGTGTGGCACCGTGAACCATACCTGGGCTCCGTGGGTTTGAATCCCAGCACTGGCGCTTCTGAGCTGGGCATGAAGGAGCAAGTGACTGCTCGCTAAGCCACAGTCGCCTTGTGTGTAAAACAAGCATAATATCTACACATAGTTTGTGTGGTTGTTGAAAAGATGATTGAACTTCATTAAGGGCCTAGCTCAGCACCTGGTACATAACAGCCTTCTATAAATGGTAGCTATTATTTTTTTTTAATGTTAGTTTTAACCACTCTCATTAGCTAAATAAGTAAGGAGCAAAATATCAATACAGGCAGAAATAAACATGAACTTCAAGAGAAGGACAGGCGGTCAATCCCATGATGAAACCGGCCAGGGGAAGCTCCTTGGAAGTGGTGGGACCTGCAGGAAGTTGTGACAGTGACCAAGGGTGAAAAGGGAGCCATGCAGATGAGGGAATCACAGCAGCCAAATCCCAGGGGCGAAAATCGGGGCCTTGGTGCAGGAAATGCATTGAGTGCTCGGGGAAGAATACGTTGGACTTGCACCTCTTGGATGTTTCCAGTTCATGTAAAGGGCAATGGACAGAGACTTGGCAGCAGAGCAACATGGGATGGAAATACGTCAGAAACAGCTCTCTCCAGGGGGCTAGACTGTGGGGGTACCAGCGCTAGGCGAGCGAGTATAGAACGTGCAGTGATGCAGGCCTGAATCAGGGCAGCAAATATGAAAACAAAGATCAAATGTGAAAAATGAAGATCAATTATGAGAGTCTTTATAGCAGGAGGATGAGCTAACCTTTCAGGAGAAGGAGAAACTCAAAGACATTGCCAAGGAATATAGGTCCGAGGAGCTGGAAAGCAAGGTCCAACTGGGCAGTTGGGGCAGGTTCCAGTCTTGGGTGGGCACGGGAGGAGCGCTTCATTTCGGTGAGAAACCGCACCCAAAGGGAGATTTCCTCTGGGTTCGGAGACAGAAATGTTCCATGTTTGCTCAGAAAGGGAGAGAAATTACAATTAGAGACACAGATTTTGGCACACTTGGCGTGGCAATTAGTAGTGCAAAAACTGACAGTGGGTGGTAGGGATGGTGGCGAGTCGGCAAGTGTGGCGAGAGCGAGGGGCCCGTAAAGACATAATGGAAACCCTCAAAAAAGACCCAAAGCACCAGGGAAGTAGGGGAACCAGGGGCGAATGGGGGCACCAGCGCCGAATGACACCAAAGCCAGGTCGGCGGTGCCCAGGCCCAGTGGGCACACGCCTTCTTCTCTCCAGCCATGTGTTGTTTGGCCTCCTGTCCTCCGGAAGGTAAATAAAATATCTTTACCCAACAAATATTTAGTAAGCACCAACCACCTTCCAGTGTCTGTCTTCAGGACAAGGAAAATAATGGTGACATAGAAATAGACAGGGTTTCTGTGCAGCAGGATCAGAAAAGAGACCAGGCCAGGCTGTGGGGGGTAGGCCCGGCAGAATGCAGGCCACAGGGACTCGGGAATGAGGACAGGAAACTGGGCATCAGGCTAAGTCAGGATTATCAGCTCCTTTGCTTTCTGTGTGGATAAGGAGACAGGGAAGCAGCGTGAGAGGAATGTCAGAGCTAAGTTGCTGTGGGCAGAGCCATACTGTAATTACAGGGACTAAACCAGGTGTCTTTAGAACCAGGATTGTGCCTAAGAATTTTCCACACAGCTGCATGGTTCATTCCTTCCAGTTTTTTGTTGTTGTTGTTGTTGTTTGATTTGTGTGGAAGGATATGTCTTCCTGTCTTTCTTTAATGTCAATCTTAAAAGGAATGTACTCAGTGAAGCTAAGTAGGTACCCTTAATAACCTAAAATAAGCTTACACAAATTTATCCCAACCTGTTTAACTTGCATTTCTGGCGTAGTAATTCTTTGGGGGTGTTATATTCCATATGATTTCTTTTCTTTCTTTTTTGAGAGAAGTATTGTAATTAAGTATTTGCATATATGTGTGTGAAGTTTACCCTTGCGTGTTTTGAAGTGATCCTTCTCATTCTGTTATTCTGGGCTCTGGTATGTAAGTCCATGTTTACCTTTTAGAATTTTGTAGAATCTGATCATTTATGGGAATAGCGAAGGTCAGGCGTTGTGACCCAGCCAACTTCGATGGGAAAGTTCAGGGCGTGTGCAGGAAACAGATGGCCAGAACCAGAAATCAAGGGCTGCCTAAAATCGGGGTTTTGATCTGCAGATAAAGGGCATAGAAGACTTTGGGCAAGTCCCTTTTCCTTTTGCTTTAGACCTTCACATTCCCATCTGTAGCAGGAGTCCATGTTTTCTTTGGGGGATTGGTGGTAATTTTTACTTTCTTTTTCCTTTCAGTATTATCTAGTTTTCTTTTACAGTGGTCATATATTAGTTCATTTAAACCCAAATAAAACCTATAAGGCAATTTTTCATTTAAGAAATTGTGATTCTATGGTCCTACACATTATGCTGGGGCTCACTCGACATTCCTTTGGATTCAGGAAAAGAAAGGAAGAACTCAGCCCCGATCTGGAGTAGAGGTGGAATAAATTAGCAAAAGCACAGCGGCCCCGAGGCCCAGGGCTGCAGCTTCGTTTATTCTCTCTCACCCATTCAACAACTTTTTATTGGGCATCTACTCTGCTCCTAGCTCTATTTTGAGCACTGAGGACAACGTAACAGAATGACAGAATTGGGAAGAGTGTACTGCATTTGTAGGTCTTCAAATATAGTATGTACCCTGATACTCTTTAATACTTACCAGCGATGGCTCATGCTTTTTGTATGCTGTGCCCTTGTAGACTATGGAGGTGAAGAGAGTCTGTGATTTTCCATCTGTTGCCCACAAAGGCTTTCCACATAAAAATGCCCTGTTATTTTAATTTGTTGTTATTGAGTTTGACTAGCAGGTGCTGTTCTACTTTGCAATGATAAATAATTTAAAATTTTTACTCTTACCAGATGTGATAACCACAAATTAAAATAAGCCAGACTCTCATACATTTTATTCCTCAGAAACAGATCGTCGTGCCATGCTGGCTTTCCCATGCTTGGGCCTGGCATTGGCTCGCCCCATCACGACTGCCGAGGCCGGCATGCGCACACCTCATTCCGAGGGTTGCCGTCCAGCCTGCTTCAAGTCATCCAGCTTTGCGCAACCTAGACTGTGAACCCAGCTAATCAAAACCATCCTTCCCTTCTTTGCCCTGCCCCTTAGCCTGTGCAACTTTCTGTTATTCACCTTGTCCTTGTCCTTCATTTGGCCTTCCCACTCAGTCCTTCGGAGATCTTTAGATTGGCAGGAGGGATTTCATTTCAGTCATCAAAACAAATGTACTGAACATCTACAAAGTGCAAAATACTGTAACGATGAGGGGTCACCAGCCTAGGCAATGCCCCTGTAGTCTCCAAGCTCATATCCTAGATACATTAAGAACTTTAGAGCGATCTTGACCAAAAGAGATAGGAAAAAATTTCAGTAGGCAGAATGTATTGAACAGGTAATCAGTGAAAATCCAAGTGCACTGTTTTGGTGCAAAAGATATTGTTTGTACACATCTCAAATTAAACTGTATGTTTGGATCAATTACCTGTTTGAAGAAACAAAGAAATAATTCGTTTTGCTATTTATTATTCTTCACTTATCTCACGGGAAGAAAAATTTCATAGATATATTCTACTTCCCTTTCTGTTTGTTTTTATCTAAATCCCTCTCTGCCTTTGTCTCTGTATTTCTCAGTGCATCTTAATGTATTTTGCCCTGGGCCATATGCATTTTCCTCAACACTTGATTGGCTTGTTTTCCTGTCTCCTCCCACCCTTACACCTCTAATCAGCCTGCTCTGGATTATGTCTGCACACGCTTTTGTATCTTGGGAAATAACATCTTTCTGGGAGGGGAAGAGCAAACATTTTCAAAGGGGTCAAATTCACCTCTCTTCCTAGTCACCAAGTACAAACAATGCTAAGCCTTTTATTAGTACCTGCAGACACAGACTGATCACAGCACCAATTGGTATGTCTGAATAGAACATACATGTTCTACATAATGGAATGTACATTGAGAAGC